CGAGTTGTAAGAGCCGATTTGCAGTTATATGGGTAAGAGTTTGATGGTCGTCTTAATACAAACTCTTACCCATACTTAATCAACAAACTATAATTAAAACTAGTAAAATATTCTAAAATGGGTGAAAAGGCTCTATTATTGTTAATAAACAATTCAGATCTACAAACATAAAATAACCGGTCAAGTATGTAAAGTAAATTAAGTAAAGTGGTACTATTATCTTACTTACAATTACAATTTGATGTGACACCAAAATAGTCATGATGTTTTGATTTCGCATTTCTAGTTATATATCTATTAAGTGTTTTTCGTCTTACCTGATGAATCTTCATTGTTTCGGGTACAATTGGTAAGGTAATGTCAATCTCTTTATCGTATGAAGTTATGTCACTGGCCTCCACTTCAAACATCTTCACTTTTGTTCCAACAGATTTCAATCCATCCATAAGGTCATGTGCATTCATAATATCTCTTTCGATTACAATTACTAAATTGTCAGCTTGTCTTTTTATTACGCCACCGATACCGTCGGGTGACCCTTTTCCGTGACAGGCCTCTTAAAAGTTCCATGTGGTATAACTGAACCCATACTTATATATTTCTTTGGAAAACAAATACAAATTTGTTTTAGACTGGTACTGTGTAGTAGGGCCATCACAAACAAAATGTATTGAATTGTGTGTGTGTGTTTGCGTTTGTTTACCCTCGCCACCAGAAGAATTGAATTGCATTTGTTTGATCTTTTATACACTGAATTACTGGAGGCAAAATGTGCTCAAATCGCTTGTAGTGTATGCCACAAAAAAGTACAACAAGATATTTTTCTTTTTGTAACTGTTTTCTTTTTATGTAGGCAACACCTGTGTGAAGAGAAATTTGTCGCTGTGAAACACCGAAGTGCATACTTTGGATCTCTTTATCATATTTACATCCATTATTTTCGGAAAAGTCCATATGAACAATTATGCTGTCCGTTACTCTGTATCAAGTGATACTCTTAGCTTCTTAAGTGTAATTAACTGATGTTTAATGTTAAACACATGTCTTACTGCTCTTTGTAAATCATTAATGAGCTCCCTTTGAAGTGCTTCTAGGGTTCCATGTTCCCTTTCTTTAACTGTTGTTGATACGTTTTTTACTTTAATTTCACCATTTTCATCTTTCGTGTTCTTTCTATACGGATATTTTTCCATGTAAACCACCACATGTGTGGGCCATCTGCATTTGATGCCGATATTTCTTTACATTTGCGAGAAGATTCACATTCTCTATACATGCAAGATTTGGTATTTGGATCACAAACGATTTGTTTCAAATGTTCATCAAGGTTGTTATTTGGTATGGCCTTTTCATGAAACATGCGATTTAGTTTGTATTGGACATTTTCGTTGATCTTATATAAACATGTGTCTCTGTCTTTTTCATGAGAATTGAGTACCGCTCAAGCCGGTGCTAGGGGGCGTGAGGGATGTTGCACGTATTCATTATCCCTCATGTACAGACTCAATCAAACAGAGTCTGCAATTCTCTTGTAATTTTGTTGTGATTAATGCTTCCGAGGGATCACTTTGTCACCAGATTTTTATACTTCACAACAGCAGGTGTCAAGTGCTGTGTGGCAGCTGTAAAAAGTTGCCCCTTACTTCACTTCAGTGTTGTAACATTTTTTCTGGTCCTTCGGGATCATTGATGCCAGTACTATTAAGTGTTGAGAATTGAGTACCACTCAAGCCGGTGCTAGGGGGCGTGAGGGAGGTTGCACGTATTCATTATCCCTCATGTACAGACTCAATCAAACCGAGTCTGCAATTCTCTTGTAATTTTGTTGTGATTAATGCTTCCGAGGGATCACTTTGTCTCCAGATTTTTATAGAATCTACTTCACAACAGCAGGTGTCAAGTGCTGTGTGGCAGCTGTAAAAAGTTAAACATGTTTCTCTGTCTTTTTCATGAGAATTGAGTACCGCTCAAGCCGGTGCTAGGGGGCGTGAGGGATGTTGCACGTATTCATTATCCCTCATGTACAGACTCAATCAAACCGAGTCTGCAATTCTCTTGTAATTTTGTTGTGATAAATGCTTCTGAGGGATCACTTTGTCTCCAGATTTTTGTCTTTCTCCTTTCTCTTGTTGTCATATCATTGATTGCCTTTAATTGACCTTTCTCTTTCCTCATTTTGTAACGCTCTCTTTCTTTTTGAAGACACTTTTGATGTGTTTTTTTTTCTTTTTCCGGATCTGGTTTCTGACGTTTCCTCCAAAGTGCTGCACGCTCTTTAAGTGGAAGTGAATTAAGTCTGCACTTATTTGATATGGAATTCATTTTATTTACACTGTCTCGTTTATAGGAACATGGTGGGGCTAAGAGCGAGGTTTGGTGCACCATTAACCGGTTTAAACTCCCCAGCAGTCATTATTATGCTTTACACGGTCTCGTTTATAGGAACATGGTGGGGTTAAGAGCGAGGTTTGGTGCACCATTAACCGGTTTAAACTCCTTTGTGTTCCTCAGATGTATGTCTATGTTGTTTCAATCATACTGTTTTGGTGACACTCTTGCTTGTGTCCCTTGTTGTTTTCTCGTCTACGGTAAGTATCTACCCCATTACCCCTAGTTTTTATTTCTTTGATTAACCCCCCCCCCTTCCCCCGGTCTCATGTCCCCTTCCCCTTTGACTTTGTGGGCCTATTATTCAATCATTTATTTGTTTTCTTTGAATTCCTAATCAGTTACAAATTATTTATCTTTTAGTGATTAACCTGTCCGTGCTCTGCCCTGTCCTGTTTTTGTTTGGGGTCCGCCTGGGCATCTTGCCACTGGTTCTTGTTGCTGGGTCATATGGGGGTTGCGTTCATTGTACGCCGCCTTTCCTTGTTGATCTTGTTTATCATATTTTATACTGCCATGCAGATCACAAATTTCTTAGGCATTTATCCTTATGTTTTGCTCGTCTCCAGTATTGTATAAAAAGCTCTTCCTGTTTTTCAATTTGTCTATCTAAGGTATTCAGCTTTATTTTTATATCTGCAATAAAAACAGATTTTATGATTACAATATGCAGTACATTATATTTACAATTATGTTAATAGAGCCATCTATGTTATCATTAAATGTGTATATCATTTTATTACATATTAATCAAAATCTTCACCAATTTTATAAATATTATTAGATAAATATCTTCACAACAATATCATTAAAAAATTTCAATCACAACTAAATGATGTTGAATAAACAATATCAGAAACAGTTGTCATTACCGAAATGTCCGACGTATTACCAGCACAAAAAGTCAGTTTCGGTAACATTTTTAAAGATTAGCACTGGTAGCCATACTGGTTTCTATATTTACAATTGAAATAATTTACAGATGAGAGTATAAACACCAAATTAATCAGAATGAAATAGAAGAATTTAGTACATCTACTTTTCATGATTAAAGTGAATAGCTCGGTAATGACAGAAAGAAGATGTATAGTTATATTAAATCAAATACCTGTTAAAAGGACCACTCCTTCGTCCATTCCACCTCGTTTGAAAATTTCGCGCCATTAAACTTTTCTGATGACGTCAAAAATTAAACGGTGATATAATGAATTTTTACTCGGCAGATAAAATTACAATCCGTTATGGTAATGACATTATTATTGTGACAATGATTTTTTAGAAATTAAATGTTAAATCGGCTAACAAAGAATGACAAACTGCTTTAGTTTTAATGTCAAATATATGTTCATTGAATAAAACGATCATTTTTATACGCAAATTTAAATGAAAACTAAAAATTACCATGATAAATGAGATACTTTGGGACACTTTAATCTCAATGATTTTGTACAATTTGATAGATGTTTCAGATTGAATACTGAGTTAACTAGAGCAATGTCGGGTACCATCGACAGGTTTATCATCATTTGATAATAAATAAACTGAATTTCCCGTTTAGACCCCAAGTTTATTTTAGATGATTCAGTTTGCCTTTAATGTAAAACAAATTCATGTGTGTATACTAACTTTGTTTATTAAATGCAATAACGTTCTATCAGTAAAAAGACTATGTGAGGCAGTTACCGACTACTGGAGGCATTTATCGACAGGTGAAGTAAATTTTAAAAAAATATGTTAAACCTGAAAAATGAGCATAACATTAGTTTATTTCATTACAAATAACGATCTGTGGGAACGAGTAAGTGACATTACTTTATTTCGTCATAATTTTTCCTTTAAATACAGAACTCGCAATAGAAAGGATAGTTTGCAAGCTGATTTGCTGGAATTTCAATAAGCACGGCATCCCCGGTACAAAGCACGTGCCACTGTCGTGGGCATTTTAGGCACTTGATCCATTCAGCATCATCATCAACAACGCTTTCTGGTGTTTTACATCCGGGCAGAGTTTAGATTCGTCATTTGAAGGCGTCATCAGAATCCATGAACTGCACTCGTACTGTATCACTCTCTGATGAACAACTACTGTCTCTTCTTGAACGTTTCTGTTTTTTGTTTAGATTTTTTTCCACCTTCCTTTTTTGTTTGGCTTCTTCTCTTTGTAATCTTTTTTTCTTCTTTCATTTTCTCCTTTTCTAGCTTTTTCTTTTCTTTTTCTTCTTTTCTTTTTAACTTTCAACCAATTCGGCAGCCTTTTTAGCTTCTTTCCTCGAACATTTTCAATGCAGCAGATCCAGAAATAGCCTTAGGTATTTTTTCTGATAATCGATTTACTACTTTCCGTTGCTTTGGCTCTGGAACAGTCAGACACTGAAAGGCTGGCGAAACAAAAGTTTGCCTACAAGAAACCGTATTTGGTAAGTGAACAGAAGATAAACTATTAATGAACGCAGTTTTGCAATTATTCGTAGTTGAGCCATTTGCAGAAGAGGCAGGTGTGCAAGTTTCACTTGTGGTACATGTTACAGTGGTTGCAGCATCTCCGCCAGCGGTGCAGGGAGGATTAGCTACCTTTGACGGCTCCAATTTAGAAATATCTTTGCCGTTTGGATTCAACGGAAATAATCCGGAACGTCGAAAACCATGGGCAGCATTGTCAAAAGTGGTGACAGAGTCCCACGCGGATTTGAACACTCCCGGGAAATTCTCTTTTTCGTTAGCGCTTCTCCGATGTGGTTAAGTTGCCAAAGTTTAACCTGCCTTTTCCACGACGATTTCATAGGTGAGAAGAAACCGACATCGCATGGTTGCAAAATATGCGTCGCGTTTGGCAGAAGACAATATAATATTATCCCGCTGTTAGCGCAGAATGTTGCTGCAGCACGAGATATGTGCGTGGAGTGTCCGTTCACAAACAAGAGAACTGGTTTATTGATACACTTAGCATCAATAAAAGCAGAGAAGTGTTGCAGGAATGCAACAAATAAGTCTGTGTCCATCCAGCCATTCGCGCTGTTGCCATAAATAGCATCTGGAAACTGATAAATACCAGTGTCTCGCAGCCGTTCGCCTGGAAATACAATCAATGGCGGAACATAGTCGCCAAAAGCGTTAAAACAAACCATGACCGTGAGTTGTGTTTTGTTGCTGGTTGTTACATTATATACGTTACGAGCACCTTTTTCGGCAAGAACCTTTCCCGTTTTGAAACAGAGAGGGAAACCACTCTCGTCCGCATTGAATATGCGACGCGGGTCATTTTTAAGAACCTCATGATCGGGTACTTCTTTTGCCAGATAATCGAATAATCCTGCGAACCACCTATCAATCATGGCCTTGTTAACGATTGCTCTCTGATGACCAAGAACATAGAGGAAAACAGAAAAAAGAGTCATTGCCTGGCGTTCACGTAACTCTGGGTATCGCCTCTTGCATGCATAGAGCCAGTCTTTTCCTGGTTCTAGTTTTTATTTCTTTGATTACCCCCCCCCCCCCCACTTTCCCCGGTCTCCTGTCCCCTTCCCTGTGCCCTTTGACTTTGTGGGCCTATTATTCAATCATTTATTTGTTTTCTTTTAATTCCTAATCAATTAATAATTATTTATCATTTAGTGATTAACGTGTCCGTGCCCTGTCCTGTTTTTGTTTGGGGTCCGCCCGGGCTCCTTGCCACTGGTTCTTGTTGCTGGGTCATATGGGGGTTGCGTTCATTGTACGCCGCCTTTCCTTGTTGATCTAGTTTGTCATATTTTGTTATTCTTAAAAGGATTCTGGCGGCCGTCAATATCCATAATGACCTAGCTTGACCTCATTCAAAAGTTCATTCCGGGTCAGAGGGTAACCAATTGATGCCATGAGTATTGAGTATTGTACAAGGCCGTCTTCCTCCGCTGAAGTGAGGACAGTCGATGGGCCCGAACGTACCACCCCCTCCGCCGTTCGTCCTGACAACTTGTCAATCAACGTTGTTCTTGGTATGCCGTACCTTTTAGAAGCTTTATTTTTAGACATTGCACCTGTCTTAACCATGGTAAGAGTTGTTGCCAATTTTGTAGGAGTATATTGACGCCGCTTCTTAGTAAACAGTTGTCCAGACATTCTGAAATAAGTAAAAAACATATGTATTGAATACAAAAAAAAAGATATCAAATCAAAGTAAAAAGGTATTATCTGATTATTTCCCTTATTGATTTTTATTTTATTATCTATTTGTCTAAATAACAATGGAAAACAAAGTTACAGCTTTAATTAACACTAATTATAAGGACATTTCCATTATATAGGCATATTTTATGATTTAGATGCATACACAACCTGTCGATATTTGCCTTAAAGGTCAATTTTTGTCGGTATTCATCGACAACCCCGCTTATAATGACACACATAATCAAAACAGTATCTTTTCACTACTTGTCAAAGATAAACGTTCATGCAATCACATAAAATGGCATTTATTGTGATTTTAACACTTTAAAGTAACGTGCAAGAAATAAATAGATTATACTCGTTTTAACTGCACGGGTAAGGCATGTATTTAAATAAATAACGTATACGGTACCTTTTTTTGGCTCGATCGCTTTCGTTGGAAAGTGATTTAGGTTCTGCAGAAAAAAATGGCATCGCAGACTTCCAGGATACTTGATGACATCATAAGTGACGTTAAATGACTATTTTGTACTAAATAATGGACATGATAATACATTATAATTATTACTGTCCATAACTACCGATAGTCGGTAATACCCGACGTTGCTCTAATAGTTTTATCTTCTGACCATCGTGTATTTATTTATGAAAAAAAAAATAGATTTCGATATATCTATTCATTATTAAAAAACAAATGATCATTTTACGATTTTTTTTATAAAAAAATGATAAAAGACAAAAAAAATATAGAATTACCCATTAATTGTATCAAAGACCAATATGATGATTATCATTGTTAAAAGTCCTTTTGTAGCGTTTTGCAAATTTTTGAACAACCCTGTACTTGAGTAATTCTCACGATAAAGTAGATTTTTCAGATCACCGTTTTACAGGCCTTCACCTTCATTATGCTTCTACGAACTAAAATCATGAAAATCGACAGTTTTTCATAGAATATTCCTTGCATGCGTTTTGACAAGGGCAAATATTTGGTAGTAAGACACGTTCAAAACGGAATAACGGTATTTGAATCGTTTTATTTCTTAAATTCATATTCTAATGCCAAATTAAACATATGGAAACGTGGTCAATTATCAAAAATATGACAGTCGATTTCCCGCAAAATTTTTTGCAATGTGTGTTATTTACAAATATTGCAAGAGACATAAAGTTGCTCATCTTAAATGTTACTTTCGTTTTACATATCCTTTCACAATTTTATCTGAGTTTTGGCTATGACGTTGCAAGATGTGTGGCCAGCAACTAACTGACTTGCTAAATTATTTGAAGCAACGCCAATGGCTTATCCCGGATTTCGTGATTATGTATGCTGGTCGGGGACCACCGAAACCAGACAACCATCAAACCCGGACAGCCCCGAAAATGCCTTTTTCTTTATTAAGCTGGGGGAGTATCTAAGTACTCGGATAATCACAAATCAAAATAAAAAATCAAGCACAAATATTCGTCAGTCCTGAGATAATGGAGCGCAATTTCATTTGTTTATTATACATTCGCTATTTCTCACACTCTAAAAGTCGGGGAAAAAAACCAACAAATTGAGTGTGAATTATGCGATGTTTACTTAAATACAATGTGAGGATTAAAGACAGGAATTAAAGAAGTACCATGATGCTGAGCTAGGAAGTCATTGGTTTCGAAAAAAGGAATTGCTTTATCTTTATTGAGCACTATGATTTTACATGAAAATAGATAAATATTTTTAATCGCTATATATATAAAGATTTATAATAACATGACATGTATCAAAGATGGTTTTATTTTTCATAATCAAAAATATGCTAAACTCAAGTTAATATTTACGTTAATGTGACATCCTGTCTGCAACAATGGCTGAAAAAAAGTGGTGCAGAAGCAAATTTTACTTCCAGTGTTTAGAAATACTTGTCTTTTCATGTGATTAGACAAGTTTGTTGTTCCACTGCTATAAGTCTGTTCGCCGTGGCATGTTTAACAAACTGCTTTTCTTTTCATTTTCATTTGTAATAGCAAACTATTTCCAAACATTGGAAGTAAATTTTGCTGGTGGAATTTTATATCGGCGTGACTCCTTTTCAACCTTTAAACTTAGTTAATATATTATGTATATTTAATGTTCAGTATTGTTTAATGAAAACTAAACATGCTTTCAAAACTAATGTTAATATTTTTCGTGGTTCGATTTGTGTATCATAAGTGATGAATCGTGGACCGGATTGGATCGTCATTTATCCGACGATCCACACTCCTTTTTTTGATCAATCAGTTGCCTTTTATCAACATTAAATGTATGTTTCTTTTAAAATAAAGCATTTAATTTATTTAAACTTTCATAAACAGCAGTAATATTTTAATGTCTATTTAAAAAATGTTGACGTTGAAAATTTTGATTTCACCCAAGCTTATATCTGGATTAAATCAGGGTCATGTTCGTATCTGTTCAGACATATGGTCAACTGTAGTGTGGACAATTTAGGTATTTGTGATACCATCCTTGACAGACCTCAGGTGTATCAACATTTTCAGAAATAAACTATTTTTTTAGTTAGGAGAAGAACCTAGCTGTATTGTGTCAAATTTTCAGATCTCTAGCTTTAAAATTATGAAATTTAAATTGAAAAATGTGCAAAAAGTATCCTGTTGATGGTCCCTGACCTGAGTAGTCTATATATTTTTGGACCATTCCATATTTTTATAGAAGTTGTATTAGAATTCAAAACTGCAGGATAAAGTTTCCAGACTCTACCAGCATGCGAGTACTTCCTGTCCAGAAATCTGCAAGACCCCAGGGTCTAAACCAGGAGTATATATATATAATTATAAGGACTAAGGTTCTTTCCGTTTACTTTAGTATTATACGAGGGTTGATCAATATATTCGTGGACACTCTCCGTAAATTATATTTTCGGGGAAGAAAAATAAATATGATAATATTTGACATTTATTCAATGATTTATCAATTTGATGTGTAAGTTTCAGATAAATAATCAGTATATTTTGTCAGAAATAACAGTTTTTAAAAATACATGTATAACTGATCGCTGCAGCTCATACGCAACTTACGTTACGTCTTGACGTCGGCGTTACATCTTCTAAAAATACGCACCACCAACTTCTACACACTTTTAATGTCGCACCCACTGACTGAAAATATTCTTATAAAATGAATTATCAAATGAATGCAACACAGACAATGCCCTGGACTGTAAATCATGGAACCCGGTAAACTTGTGTCCCTTTTACTCTGCCTTCAATTTGGGAAACAACACAAAGTCGCAAGGGGCAAGAACCGGAGAGTAAGGCGGATGTTCCAAGACCTCAGCACCTAGCTGAATGGTGATGGTGGTCTGGGTCTCCACTGATAGATTGCTTGGAGCATTATCTTAGTGAAGAATTGTATTTTCCAAGTCTGCATACACATTTGGGTGTTTTTTCCATATCCCGTAAGCAGGTTCCCGCGGACAACCTTAAATAGCAAAAACACCAATTGTTTGCACAGATGTTGCGTGATTTGTATTACTAGTTTAATAATTATTTATTTTGTTATACATATATAATATTCATATTATTATGATTATGTTATATTAAATATATATTTTTATTTTTTCTTCTTACCTTCGAATAATAATTTGCATTGACCGTCACTCCTAAAGGTACAGCATGACACAGCAGAAGACCTTGGCTGTTGAAAAACACAATAAACATGATTGTGTTTGCCCATCGATATACTGGCACAAGCTTTCTTTGGCAGTGGGGAATCTGTGTTCTTCCACTGGCTACTCTGTTGTTTCGTTTCTGGATCGTAATAATATAGCCAAGTTTCGTCAGTCGTTATTATTCTATCACGGAATTGCTGTCCTTGCCATCTGTACCATTTCAGGAACCGCTCACTGTGAGCAACTCTTGTTGCCATCTCGTCCTCCGTTATTAAACGCAATACCCATCTCGCACTCAGTCGTAGCATAGCTAGGTCTACAGTCAATATCTTCTGAACAGATCCATAACTTAAACACAGCATATCGCTCATTTCTCGAATTGTTCTCCTTCTATCCTCCTTGACTGCCGATTTCACTCTCAAAACGTTTGTATGGCAACAAGTTTCGGTTGGTCTGCCACATCTCTTATCATCCTGAAGTTCTTCTCTACCCTCACGAAATCGTTTGTGCCACTTATAAACTAACAAACGAGACATATTTTTTGTTCCAGATGCAATTTCCATGTTTTCTTTAGTCTGCTGTGGCATCATACCAAGATTTACATAGAACTTAATTACTGCCCTCTGCTCCAACAACGTCGCGCTCCTCTCTGGCGTACACACCCCTGTCTCCATTGACATCTCTAATAAACCATATAAATTGAAGCGATGCTTGTTTTTGTGTCGCCTCTACGGAGTAGTGGCGACATATAGGGATCACTTCTCCGTCGTCCGTCTGTCTGTCTGTTCGTCCGTCACAAAACTTGTCCGGACTACTCCTCATAAACTACTGGTGCAATTTCATCCAAACTTTACAGGAATGATCAGTACCAAGTCTAGTTGTGCATATTGTCAGTATTTTCAGGTTCAATGATTTTTGTCAGAGTTATGGCCCTTTAATAATTTTTATTTTTAAAGTTTGTCCGGACTAGTTCTCTTATACCACTTATGCAATTTCAATGAAACTTTACAGGATTGATCTGTAGCTCAAGTCCTTGCGCATATTGCACGGGTTTTCCGGTTGAATGATTTTTGGCCGAGTTATGGCCCTTTGATAAAAAAGTGTTTTTTTCTGTGTGTTGCCAGATATGCAAAAGCTTGTCCGGACTACTCCTCATAAACTACTGATGCAATTTTATCCAAACTTTACATGAATGATCAGTACCAAGTCTAGTTGTGCACTGTCCGTCTGTCTGTCCGTCTGTCACAAATTTGTCCCAACATGAAATTGGCCATTATGAGGCGACACATGTGATTACTGATCGCTCTTGTTTTAAATGTTCTATAAACGTTATGAAACAACGTTGGCGTCATTTTCGTATTATAAAGAAGCCCTCCAAAATAAGGACAATTTTTTAGTATTTTAAAATGGTAAGTTATAACTTTTTTTAAACTGCGGCGTTGATACCGGTTGCTATGGCGATAAATATATACAAAATGAGAAAAAAAATTAAAAATCACAATAATTATATTCGTAATTGTATTAAATTCTTCTCCTAAATTTATAGCAAAAACTCTTTATAATATCTTGATTAATTATTAAGTTATTAATAGTGTCCATGAATATATTGATTAACCCTCATATATTAGTATTATCTGACATAATACATAGGGGTCTAAATCCAGATGATTGCCCAAAAATCGTAGTTAATTAAAAGTGTCGCACAGAAGACCCACATTCTATGCTTAAAGGTCAAGGTCAAAGCAGGGTATTGAGCTGTGTTTTGTTTTTTTTAAGACTGGTAGAGTTTGTGTTTCATCTATAATCTTCTACAAGCATAATGGGATTTCAAATCTTAATTTAAAAAGTATAACATCACTGCAAGTTTAAATTAAGCTTGATTGTGATGAAAGCTTGAACATAAAGTTTATTTAATACCTATAAATCTGCTGACTTGAACTAAACAGTATTTGAGCCGCGTCACGACAAAACCAACATAGTGGGTTTGCGACCAGCATGGATCCAGACCAGCCTGCGCATCCGTGCAGGAGGCGCAGTCTGATCAGGAACCATGCTGTTCGCTTACCAACTCTAATTACAAGTGGAGAAACTAATAGCTAACAGCATGGATTCTGATCAGACTGTGCGGTAGAGCAGGCTGGTCTGGATCCATGCTGGTCGCATTGGCACTATGTTGGTTTTGTCGTGACGTGGCTCATTTGTTTCTACTATCGTATGGGGAAACAGTATGTTGAGAGAATAAATTACTGACAAAACCATGAACCAAATTAAAAAAAATAATTCAACATTATGTACATGTACTTTAAGGGGAAGGAAAAGAATCTTTTTTTCATGAAATCTGAAACTAATATAATATGTATCTCTGTCAGAATTTGTAATCAAGTTTAACATACAAAAGTCATGTAGATTTAAAAGAAAGAACTGAAAATTCTTATAGGCAAATTTTGTAGATCTCTAAATAATGTTCATTTAATCAAGTTGATTTATCTTTAGTCTTTATTTGCACTTTAATCCAACTTATGTTAAAGTTCATTGAAGTGAAGAGTTTATCCTTGACAGTACTTTCTTCCTTTTAACATTTTAATATTTCTGACTGAGTTGAGAACTTTTACTAATTGTGTTTTGTCTCGTAATAACAAGTTGCAATTTAAATGTTCATTTTGCAAATTATATACATCAGACTTACCACACTTTTGTTCCTCATTAAGGAGAGTTTTCTGTAATCATTGCTTAGATATTAAAAAAAAGGAGAGAAAAAGCAGAGTTTTCTTTTTTTGTAAGGTCTGGTAAATGGACATAATATCAATCAGTAAAATTTTTAGCTCACCTGTCACTTTAGGGTGAGCTTTTGTGATCACTTTTTGTCCGGCCCGCATCTGTCCGTCCGTAAACTTTTACTTTAAATGACATCTCCTAAACCACTAAGCCAATTTCATCCAAACTTCACAGGAATGTTCCTTTGGTGGTAACCTTTAAAAATTGTTCAAAGAATTTAATTCCATGCAGAACTCTGGTTGCCATGGCAACCGAAAGAAAAAACTTTAAATTTCTTCTTTTAAAAAACCCTAAGAGCTAGAGCTTAGATATTTGGCATGAAACATTTTCTAGTAAGAGTCTACCAAGTTTGTTAAAAAAAAAGCCCTGGGGTCAAAATTGGCCCCGCCCCAGGCGGTCATTGATTTTCCCAATATGCATATAGTAAAAACTTAAAAAATCTTCTTTTAAAGAACCCAAAGAGCTAGAGCTAAGATATTTAGCATGAAACATCTTCTAATGAGTGTCGACCAAGTTTGTTCAAATAAAAGCCCTGGGGTCAAAATTAGCCCCGCCCTAGGGGGTCATTGATTTTCCCTATATGCAAATAGCAAAAACTTAAAAAAATTTCTTTTAAAGAACTCAAAGAGCTAGAGCTAAGATATTAAGCATGAAACATGTTCTAATGGGTGTCTACCAAGTTTGTTCAAATAAAAGCCCTGGGGTCAAAATTGGCCCTGCCCCAGGGGTCATTGATTTTCCTTATATGTGTATAGCAAAAACTTAAAAATCTTATTTGAAAAAACCCAAATAGCTAGAGTTTAGATATTAAGCATGAAACATCTTCTAGTAAGTGTCTACAAAGTTTGTTCAAATAAAAGCCCTGGGGTCAAAACTGGCCCCGTCCCAGGGGTGTCATTGTTTTTAACTATATGTATAGTAAAAACTTAAAAAATCTTCTTTTAAAAAACCCAATGAGCTAGAGCTTAGATGTTTAGCATGAAACATCTTCTTATGGGTGTCCACCCAGTTTGTTCAAATAAAAGCACTTGGGTTACAATTGGCCCTGCCGAGGGGGGGGGGGGGGCGCAGGGGCAGGAGATCATTGTTTTTATTATATGTGTGTAGTAAAAACTTAACATCATGAAACATCTTCTTTGGATGTCTTCCAAGTTTGTTCAAATAAAAGCCCTGGGGTCAAAACTGGCCCCGTCCCAGGGGTGTCATTGTTTTTAACTATATGTGTATAGTAAAATCTTAAAAAATCTTCTTTTAAAAAATCCATTGAGCTAGAGCTTAGATGTTTAGCATGAAACATCTTCTTATGGGTGTCCACCCAGTTTGTTCAAATAAAAGCACTTGGGTTAAAATTGGTCCTGCCGGGGGCGGGTGAAGGGGCAGGAGATCATTGTTTTTATTATTTGTGTGTAGTAAAAACTTAACATCATGAAACATCTTCTTTGGTGTCTTCCAAGTTTGTTCAAATAAAAGCCCTGGGGTTCAAACTGGCCCCGCTCCAGGGGCCTATATACAGGTGAGCGACTTCAGGGCCATGATGGCCCTCTTGTCTTTTTTCCCCCAAATAATTTAAAATTTAATCTAAATGTTTTTGCTTTTTAAGCTATCTATTATCATGTTTCAAACATTTCCAAATAATGTGGACAAAAATTATATAGGAGCCAAAACGTAAAAAAAAACAAAAAAAAAACATGACAGATGTAAAGATGTTGTTTAGCCTACATTTGTACACCTTGCTGGAAATTTTGATACAGCATATTTTTCTATTTATATGTTTTGTCATTTGTTATAAGTGTTTTGTCATCTGTTAGTGTTTATATATAGACTTGAACAGATTGTTAATGTTCACTTAAACATATTGCAAGATGGCATTTTTTTGTAATTTGCGGTATAATATTAACCAGTTTGTATACTAAAGGCAGATCACATTTTTTTTAAAGTATATCTCCATATAATTGAAGACTTAATGAATTAAAATGAAAAATTGTTGTCTGTCTGTTCATAGTAGATTAAATCACTTATGACTTATTATGAATTGTGAATACATATTTATGTTGAAGTACCGTGAATACTGAATTATGAACATATAGTTGAACAGATAGGTCACATAGCATTCAAGTTCAGATATAGTGCCATGATTATCATTATTTAAATTAAAGCAAATTTTTAAGTATTGGTTATATAGATTTCACTAAAATAAATACTTTTCGGTTGACTTGAATATCTAACTAAACTTTTTAATTATTTATTTATTCTTTTGATTTTTGCAGGTGTTGTAAGCATTTTCCAAGATTTCAGAATAACTTTCTTATATAATTTCAGCAGCCAATGTCATCAAGTGGAAAGCATAAGAGTGCTATGATGTCAGCTGAAGTTATGCCAGGCTCATCGTCTGAAGTAGAGAAAGCTATTGCTGATGAAGAGGCAAATGTTGCTATTCCTGCCAAGAAGGCAAAGGTCGAGAAAGATCAGCCCAATTCTGATACACCTGAAGATGTTAATGCTTATATGAAAAGGACTTACGATGTGAGACGAAGTTACATCACTGTTGAATTACCTACTATTAATGAAGTGAAGGAAACTTACCCGGAACTATTTGTAGACAGGCAGATAATGCTCGAGTTTGAGAGAATAACTGATATAGATTTAGATCACGCCCTACAAGAATATTGTGTTTCACACTGGCGGGACATTACCGATATGTGTCATAAGATTCCCAGTGCAAAAGATTTATTGAAACAAGCGGAATGTGTTAAGAAGGACAGTCCGTCTTTGGAGCAGTACTGGGATATGGTTGCGTCGTTATGTCTCGTCCCTTACATGATGAAGGAGAACCTGTGTGATATGGTGATAGAAATAGGCGAAGATGAGCAGGTTGATCCTAAAGGAAAAATAGTTCCTGTGCTTATCTCTAAAGGTAACGTTTTTAAGAGCGATGAATTTATTCTCGTTGTAGAAGAAGAAGTTGTTCAGGAATTTGAGGAGTTCACGATTGCATTTGCAAGTCTGTTTGCAACATACTGGATATTTAACATGGAATACCCAGATACTCTGGTGTTTACATACAACTTTATCCAGAAGGTTATGGTAGGGCTTAAAGATGGTACCACATTGCCAACACCTTGTAAAGAAATTCAGCAAAAGCTGATCAAAATGGCTAAAATTCGCACAAATAAAGACAAGCAAAAGTGATTTCAGAATATATAGTCATGAAAAACTTTGCTATTGAGATGTTTCTATTGAGATGTTTTAAGCTTGTAAACTTTTCGTTATAGAAAGTGAAGGCAGCAAATATTTGATTATTTTTAAGGATGGAGATGTTCTTTCATTAGCCAACAGTACAAATTACAGTAAAAGATGATGTACCTCAATGATGATGATTATTGTCAAAACAAGTGTAGATGTTTTAATTTAGTGTATATATGGTGTAGCTTGAACCTGAACTAAATTTTAAATATGATGGACCAAAAATCAATTATTTTTACAGATTGTACCTTAGCAAAGTTTATAATTTTTCTCTTCAACCTCTTTAGAGGTTTGACACAAGTGGATGAAAAATGCATAACAAAGGCCAATTGTTGAAAATGGTAGTAAATTTTCAGACAGAAATTGAACTTTTTTTTTACAACATTTCATTGTTACTATGTTTGTTTTATTAAACAGCATTGTTTTTTGTTGTGGCATATGATAATAAGAAGCGCCCTGAATACTTGCTAACAAAGCATGTCTTTTGTGAAAATATAAATTGTACCAAGAATTTCCTTTCTAAAAAAGACATGTTTATTTTTACAATTCTGATCCACCATCACCCTTATTTTGTTTTGCGATCTTTTACAAAATACCACTTACAATGAAAAACAGATGGTACTGTTTATTAGTTCATCTGTTTCAAAGAAAAAGTCCAGTGATTACATGTATGATCACCATGTCATGATTGTCATCGTCATGCAAAAAACTTTAATGTTGGTGACATAGAATACTTACTTATCATGACAAGCAATATGTTATGAGTTATGTCCCTTATGTTCCCTTTTAACTTAGAATATTTGTAAAAATTGGTTATCCATACGCATTCACCATAACAGACGAGCGTTAACACCTTATTCGGTGCTCTTATTTCTTTGCTGCAACAAAAGAAAAGTTCCACCGAAAGATCATTTTATATTTTTGTGTCGCCTCTACGGAGTAGTGGCGACATATAGGGATCACTTCTCCGTCGTCTGTCTGTCCGTCCGTCCGTCTGTCCTTCCGTCCGTCACAAAACTTGTCCGGACTACTCCTCATAAACTACTGGTGCAATTTCATCCAAACTTTACAGGAATGATCAGTACCAAGTCTAGTTGTGCATATTGTCATTTAATTTTAAAGTTTGTTCAGACTACTTCTCTTATACCACTAATGCAATTTCAATGAAACTTTACAGGATTGATCTGTAGCTCAAGTCCTTGCGCATATTGCACGGGTTTTCTGGTTGAATGATTTTTGGCCGAGTTATGGCCCTTTGATAAAAAAGTGGTTTTTTCTGTGTGTTGCCAGATACGCAAAAGCTTGTCAGGACTACTCCTCATAAACTACTGGTGCAATTTTATCCAAACTTTATAGGAGTGATCAGTACCAAGTAAGGCTCCCACGTTTACAATTTTTTGTAAACGTTTACACGACTGCTAAGAACCGAAACGATACCGTTTAAACGGTGGTACCTCTATGTACTATACACACCATGTATTTGAGTCGCCAAATGATGTATTTCTTTCTATTTTTAATACATGTACAAATAAAGAATGTGCAAGGCTCATCACAATTGAGTCAGCACACATTTTTTGCATTGTAACCCCATTTTTTACCAAAAATGTATTATGTCACGAGCAATTTTGCACGGTAATGCTGTGTGGAGGGTTGTAAACACCCATTTTCCGTTTGTTTACTTTGGAATAAACCACTAGAATTGATAAAATCCATGGTTACAGGCAATGATTAAGAAATTTTGTAAGACAATATGGTCATTTCGATTAAACGGTAAACAATATCGTAAACGTTTATGAATGAAAATCGAAACGAATCTGTTTAAACGTGTAATCGTGGGGGCCTTAGTACCAAGTCTAGTTGTGCACTGTCCGTCTGTCTGTCCGTCTGTCACAAAATTTGTCTAAACATAAAATTGGCCATCATGAGGCAACACATGTGATTACTGATCGCTCTTGTTAAAATAGGACACTCAAAACAGATCTTTATTGGAGTGGCCATAGATAATGATAATTAGGATTTAGAATTTTAAATTTGAAGTAAGACAAGTGATGGTAAACAACTAGTATAATCAGCAGAGTGGCAGTTGATGATTTTTGTTATGTTTTATAACTGTTTCAATTCACGTTTAAATTGTTCTTTTTATATGAATATATATATAACTCAGTTTTACTATAGATGCAATTGTGTAATTGATACAGAAATATCTGACTGATTTTATGTTGAACATGGTTCATTATTTTGAAGAATTTAGTAGCATTTGTATTTGAATTATTTTGACAATAGTTCATAAAAAATATAAATTGACATTGATTCAGATTTAAATTTTCATGACTTTGTAATTAGATTGTTTTGTTTTTTTTACTCTTTTAAGTTAGTTGTATATTAGGCAAGTTCAGAGACTTTGATACTATCACATTTATGTACAATGGCATTGTGTAAAACTCATTTGAGCCGTGCCATGACAAAACCAACATAATGGGTTTGCGACCAGCATGGATCCAGACCAGCCTGCGCATCCGCGCAGTCTGATCAGGATCCATGCTGTTCGCTTACCAACCCTATTACAAGTAGAGAAATTGATAGCGAACAGCATGGATCCTGATCAGACTGCGCGGATGCCCAGGCTGGTCTGGATCCATGCTGGTCGCAAACCCATTATGTTGGTTTTGTCGCGACGTGGCTCATTTCTGTTGCTGTCACCTGGCAACCATAGCTTGCCATTGCTCACATTTGTTTCATTTACTATAGTATACTTACTGGCTTTACATAAGAATTGATCAATATAAATCACTTTTATCTTATAGTTTAATTGGTTATATTCATCTGTGTTGTTAAAACTTGTTTCTTTTTATAGTAAATTTTTTAAACTTTTTTCCTATATTTTTCTGTATGTAATTGAAACTAAAATTAGTAAAAGAAAAATAAAGCCTGCCTTACTTATAACTTGCATTTTTGTAGTAAAAGAATTTTTAAAAACTCCAGTGCCAGACATGGAAGATCACTTATAACAATGCATTTTTTATGACTAACATCTTCTGTATTAACAATCAGATTATTTAGGAGTTATTTTAGAATAGTCACACCAAAGCATCACCAAATGGTTGTGATCACAGAATGTCGTTATCTCCTTTGCTATTTTGTGGCAGGTTATGAGGAAAAAAATATTTTTACTACACCTCAGAATTTTATATGAAAGGAAGTATTAAAGCATTTGGTCAAGATATAAAATGATCAATTTATATTATCATATTTCAACTTGGATGTATAAATTACAGATGAATAAGATAGTTGAAGAATGTTATGTTAAGGTGTATAGGGCATGAATACTTGTTATAAGATTGCATACCTTATTGTAGATAACAATTTTTTGCATTTTTCTGTTGATGTTAATTGTTACAGGCTGTCAGATGGTTTATTTTATGCATTTACTTGGTATATTTGTCACCAGTTCATTCAAACATACAAATACATTCCGCATTTCCATATTCTATTTTCATTCAGTTATCTACACTGGGCATTGAAGTCTTAAAGTTTCTAGGAATACTTAACAAATTCCTTTACATACCCACTTCCTACTGATTGTTTAGCTCTGATTTTTTTTACTACTGTGTTATGTCCGGAGGGCAAACATTTAGATCCTAAATTTACAAGTTTGGGTTGTGGATGCAGCATATGTTTTTCTGTTGCAACAGTAGTCCATTGTTACACAGATTTTCAAATTAAATTCAATTCACAATCTATACGCTTGTGTTTCAGAGAAACACTTGGTCTAATGATTTTCTAAGAATCTTAAAAAGTTTAACTTCATATCTTCTGTAGATTACCATTTTCCATAATAATGAAGTCCCTGTTTAGTAAGGTGAATGAAATTAGAATACGGATTTGATTTTGCATTTATGCTGTTTTTTATTACTGCTTCTGTAAATGTAAAACCAATTTTTTATACAGAAAAAAATTGCTTCCCTTTGTAAATTGGGGTTTAAATTTATTTTGATTGCTTTTGGGGGAAATTTTCCTGTTTAAAACATTTTCATTTGCTTTTTTTTGGGCCCAAAAATTTGCCAATTTTTTTAAAAAAACATTTTTTTTCCCCAGTTTGAAAATGCTTTTGATAAAACTTTAAATTGGCCCATAAAAAAATTGGAAGTTGTAAAATAAAAAATTTTTACCTTTTTGTAAAGCAAATTTTACCATAGTTAAAGAATATTTTCTACACTTAATTGTATTTTATTTCATAGTTGAGTATTCAGTTAGTAACCCATCTAACATACATTATATTGGATGCTTATAATTACTTATGTATCATTCTCATTTGTTAATTTAACAGCTAAGATAAGCTTTCTTTGTATTGTTTATATTTAGCAAGTTTGTATAACTAAAATGTTCTATAATATGATTCTAAAATGAAAAAATGAAATGTTTAACGTCTTAAAAGTTTAATTTTCCATACCCTCATTATTTCCATTACTTGAAATTTTTTTATCATGTTGCAACTTGCCTTTATTCTACTTCTTGCAAAATGTAAACTGTTATTAATTTTGAGCTTGTTTAAATAGAGAAAAAAGTCTTTCATTTTCATCAAATGTATTCAAAATATGTAAAGCCTTTTGGTTTCAGGGTATCTCCAAGCACAAAATTTTCTACCACTATTTTGTTGAACCTTCAACTAGCCGTTACTGCTTTTCATATGGAACTGACTTGTGTTATTGTGAGGAATTTTTCATTTTTAAGGGATGCAAAAATTGATCAAGGAACTTTATTGTGAAGTGTGAAAAATTATTTTGGGCTATCTTATTAAATTTGTGACTTTTCCCTTGCAGGCATGAACTTTTGCATTTTCCTTTTTTTCCAAAAGCACTGTTTTGGGGGAAAAAGTTTGGTTTTTATAGCCCAACAAATTTTGTACAGGGGTTTTATATATGAAATTTGTTTTTTGGAAAAGGTTTTGAAAATATTTTTAAAGCGGTTTTTTAGCCCAAATTTGATTGTACAGGGGGGTTTATGAAAAATTTTTTTTTGGCAAGGGGGTTTTAATGGGTTTAACTGTTTAATTTAAAACTGATAGAGAAAGGGTTGGTTATATTTAACGATTGTCAGGGGGGCTATAGTTGAAGTCATTTTGGGAAAGGTGGTTATAGGTTCAACTGATAGGGCAAAGCTAGTTTTTGTTCAACTGAATGTACACATTGGCTATAGTAAAAAGTGTTTTGGGGAAAAAGTTGGTTAAATAGTTTTAAACTGGTTTTTGGCAAGGTTGTTATACTTTAACTGATTGTACAGGGTGGATATAGGTTTAAAAATTTTTGATTTGGAAAGGTGGGTAATAGTTCAACTAGTTTTGAAAAAGGGGAGTTAATACTTTAACTGATTTGCACAGGGTGGAATATTTAAAGTGATATGGAAAAGGTGGGTTATAGTTCAATTGTTTTGAGCAAAGTGGTTTATACTTTTAACGTGATTGTACACGGGTGGTTATAGTTGAAGTCATTTGAAAAAAGTGGTTTATTTTAACTGTTTGAGGCAAGGTGGTTATATGTGAAAATTGATTTTAAGGTGGTTAAAGTTCCAGAGACTGAGCAGGGTGGTTATAGTTCAACTGATTGAATATGATTTAGCAAGATGGTTAAGAGATTGGTTTCATGTATCATTGTCATTACATTTTTCTATTTTCTACAATAGTTGGTGCAGGTAGGTCAAGGTCTCTAGTCATATCATTAAATGTTTTTATTTTGTTTCAGCTACATCACATCATTGCATATCGATTCACATAGTGAGAGATAATTTAATTACACGAACATATATATGTATGAAATGCTTACGTAAGTCAGTTATTATAGAAAAAGGTTGAAACAAATAAACTTCAGTCAGTATTTGATGATGGCACATTATGGTGGTACTGTATATAAAAGTTGGTAACCATCTT